CCTTTTTTTCCTCAAAATCAGATTTTTTTTTTTTTTTTTACTCGTGTACCAAATACCTGATTTTTCTGTCAAAATTACTTTTTTTGAATGCTCTGTTAATGTTTTTAAATGATGGTAAATTCCTTATATTAGTTGCGTCAGCTATTGTGGTGTCAGCTTTATTTGACACACTTGGCAAACTGAAAGCTGTGAATTTGCCACCAGAGCTTTTTTTTTTTTCAGAGGAAGGACCTATTTGCACTGTACTTCCCTTTTATTTTTAACATAGTAGATGCAACAGTAAATTGTTAGAACTGGAATAGCATGACTTATGCGACCATATAGCTATTATAACCAATGCACCAAAATCAGGAAGGGGGCCAACACTTTTTCACACCACTGTATAATATATATCACACTCACAAACACGTTCTTGCGTATGTGGTTTCCGGGGACTCTCCATAATCGTAATGGGTTTTTTTAAGTACAAACTGTATTTTCTATCCCCTTACCCATCCATATTATTTAATTGAATATATTTATTTAATAACAAAAATTAGATTGTAAAATACAGAGCAGGGACCTTTGCAAGAAACGAGTGATAAATTCGAACACGAAATCATTTTGGTTTGATTTGTTGATTAGTTTGGTTTGCTTCAATGTATATTCACAAGTCTATTGTCTTTGCATCAACAGTGCGATACTCTGTTCACATGCTACGTGTGCGATCGAACCTTCCCCTCCTCTGAGGAACTGACACAACATCAGTCGACCCACAACAAGGAGGACAAGCCCTTCAAATGTGCACATTGCCAAGAATGCTTCCGCACATTCTCAGAGGTGAGAGGAGTTTTAAATTAATTTAAATAGAAAATGCTTGATTAGAAAAAAATCTCTTTTTTTATTGAGTATTAAGTATCTTAAATACTTGATTACCAAAAATAGGCAATATACAGTTGCTAAAAATTTCATGCCATTGGCATTGTTATTGTAGTGTTTGAGAGAATGGCCATGTACGGTTGATTTACACGTGCTATGATTGTAAATGTAAGCCTATGTTTAATATTTCAACATGCACCACTTTCTTTCCACAAGTTAACAACACATCGGCGGCAAGTATGTCCTGAACGTCAGTTCGTGTGCAAAGAATGCAACGAGATGTTTCGAAGCTCTGGAATTTTGCGTAACCATCGTTTGACCCAGCACCCAGTGCCCATGGATGGGGAGGAAGCAGAGGATTCCACTAAGACCTACCGATGTGGTAAATGTGGTAGGGGATTTGAAGAAGAGGCAGAGCTCCTGCAGCATCAGGAGAACCACGCAGGTGACCGGCACTGTAACGGTAGTGCCGCCGTCAAACGTCGAGGGAGACCACCTAAAACTGAGGCCGGAGCAGCTGGTGAAAAGAAAGCGAAGCAAAAGGAGGAGGAAGAGGCAGAGGGGCCTGAGGAAACCAACCATTCAGAAGACACTTCTGCAAAACCAGCCACAGCGGAAGTGAAGACAGCAGGAAGACGAGGACGCCCAGCCAAATCTACCCAGGAGCCCAAGGCAGAAGATGATGACAAGAAACTTGTTCCTCAGCCAGCTCTGCAGATCCCTTGCACTGAATGTGACCTCACTTTCCCCAGCCTGACGCAGCTTCGAGTACATAAGAAAGAGAAGCACACGCAGCGCAAGCCTCACGCTTGTGGAGAATGTGAGGAGAGTTTTAACCGACCTGAGCAGCTGGAGGCCCACATGGCAAGGGCGCATAGTGCCGGCCGGCACACTTGCCCCACATGTGGGAAGAGCTTTGGCAGAGAAAGTAACCTGAAGGCTCATCAACAGAGCCATGGAAAAGAAGAGAAGCCAGTCGGAAAGAGATAATTCAGTTTGGGAGAATTTTAAGGGGGTATGTTAACAGAAGACGAATTAAATTTTTAAAAGTTTTGTGTATAGAAATGTAGGTGGGGACAGGGTTCACTTTAGATTTTAAGTTGTAACATAGCAAGGGATCCTTCAGCTGTGTGGCCCTCGAGATCAACACCATTGGTGCTTTTCCACTGCGTGGTACGACTCGGCACGGCACGGTTTGCGTTTCCACTGCAGTTCAGTACCGCTTTAGAGTGGGCGGGATTATTCACATGTCGTTATAGTTGCGCCGCCTCTAC